TTTGCTACATTCATTGTCCAGGCCAATCAAAGGAGATCTGATATGCTGAAAGGGAAGACTCTGGATGAATCTTTTTCAATTTACATTCAATGCAGATTTAAAAAAAAAATCTCCTTGCATGTTTTGGAGTTTGTGATTGCAGAATATTAAACAGGAACAATACTGCCACCAGCTTGATTGCATTCTCATTCTGGAGGTAGGAAGTTTAAAGTACTTTGTGTCTCCCATGCACAGGAGAAGGTGGCTGAGAAGAGGACTGGAATGACCTTAGGGTCTATGTCCTTGTGTGGGGCTTTTATCACTAGTTGTCTCTTACTTCATGAAGCAAAGAAAACTGCAACCGAAGAGGGCCTAAAGTAGGGCTTAGATCTGTACAAGCTACATATGTATTAAAATTTAGTTTATATTCTTTAAAAGACAAGCACATGATGAACTTGTGGGGGTACAGAGGTAAGGCAGAGAAAGAAGAATAATTGCATTGTCTTCTTTCTTCCTTCTATATTAAACTGATTAAACTGAAGCTCAATCCAGACAAGACGGAGGTCCTGTTGGTTGGTGGATCGGGCTTCGGAGAGGGTGAATTGAACCTTGTCCTGAATGGGGTTGCACTCCCTCTTAGGGACAAGGTCCGCAGCTTGGGAGTGCTCCTCGACCCAGAGCTTTCACTGGAAGCTCAGGTAACAGCAGTGGCGAGGAGTGCTTTCCTCCAGCTTCGGCTAATTCATCAGCTGCGCCCCTATCTGGAGAATGACTGCCTTGCGACAGTGACACATGCGTTGGTGACTTCCCGTTTGGACTTCTGCAACGCGCTCTACGTGGGGCTACCCTTGAAGACGGTCCGGATACTTCAATTGGTCCAAAATAGAGCTGCCAGGCTGCTGACGGGGACTGGACGTTATGTTCACATGACTCCAGTTCTCCGTCAGCTTCACTGGCTTCCCATTGAAGTCCGGGCCCAATTCAAGGTGTTGGTTATGACCTATAAAGCCCTAAACGGCTTGGGTCCTGGTTACCTGAAGGAGCGCTTACATCCTTATATGCCCAGCCGCCCCCTGAGATCGGCGGGAGAGGCCCTTCTCCGGGAGCCCTCCATGGAAGAAGTTAGGAGGGTGGTTACTCGGAGGAGGGCTTTCTCAGCGGTGGCGCCTAAGTTATGGAATGCGCTCCCCAGAGAGGTCCGCCTGGCGCCGTCGTTATTTGTTTTTCGGCGCCAGGCAAAGACCTTTTTATTTAAGCAGTATTTTAAATGTTAATATTATTGAATTTTATTTGGCCAGGGCGGCTTGTTTTATAGTGTATATTTGTATTTTATTGTATATATTTTAAAATGTTATTTTAAATTTTTTGTTGTAAGCCGCCCCGAGGCTTCGGCGAATGGGGTGGCATAAAAATGTTTTAATAAAAATAAATAAATAAATAAATATATGGGTTCCTAATCTGGAAACTGAGGAGACCCTGGGAGGCTGGTGTTGCAACTGATGATCTCTCTGGGCATAGCAGTGGATTTCCAAAGAATTCCTTTCTCAGTATCCCTGTTCTTGGGGCTGAAAGGTGGATTTGCACTTGCTCTTCCCATATTTGGCTTTCAAGTCATTCTCGTTCAGGGTCCTGTCCCAAGTTCAGGAGGTGAACACGATGAACATGTTACATTACTTCCATTTCTTGAGACCACAGCAAAGTAGGGTCAATTCCCATAATCATCCCAGAACTTAGTGTAGATGCTTTTGCTGTACTAAACATCCATACTGAACACTGTCTCTACAGAACAATTGTAATTTATTGTGGCAGTTTCTTGTGGCCTGTGGCTCAGTTTTCAGTGTAGCACTGCTTTGTTTAAGGAATTAGGCCTTGCCTCACCTTCTTTGCCAGAATACTGTACAATCCAAGAATATTGTTCTCCACCTTGAATTGTCATATTTATACCCCGACTTATTCCTTCAAGGAACAATTTGCCCATTCTATTAGTTCTTTTTAAAAATTACTTTCTTTTTCTTCAGTTTTTACGGTATCGTCCCCAGTAAGTTGCCTGTTTTTTGTCTGTCCCCTTTCCCCACCCAGGACCACTTGTGTATTAGGTAATAGTGTGATGGTAAATTACACTACCATTAGACCCCATAGGCACATACCCAAGGGGAGTTAAGAAATGCAGGCAGCTCTGTTGAACAATATCAGCAACTGTATGATTACAAGAGGGATAGTTCACACCACAATACATTGTTTCTGAGAGAATCCATTTCTCCCCAACTACTCGGAGGATGCAGCTAAGCTCAGAGGAAACAAAATCTTGTGGGAGGTGACAGGGACATCATTGTCCCTGATCATCAAAATGTCCTGGCATGTTGCTGTGGTGAACCCCAGTTCTGCTATTCCACTGGTGTCAGGGCCTCAGGCCAAGAATCTTTTCAAAGTCAGAGCTGACCCCAGAGGACATAGGCACCCACCTCTCTCTTAATGAACTGTTTTTTCTTTAAGTTTTCCCTTCTGAATAAGAGTAGGGCCTGTTTGGTGTAAATCTGAGTTGCCTTTTCTGTTCTTTCTTAATGACTAAGATACGTCATAAATAGCAGCTCTTTCTCCATCAGCCAGGTCTAGTGAGGTGGATCGGCTAGTGAATGGGCATCACATATAAAGAAGAATCATATATCAATGGAAGATTTAAATATGGTGCTGCGAAACACATAGTTCACAGTACTTAAGATGAGCAAAGACATATCTATGTATTTAATTTCTCAAATTTATATACTGTACCATTTTCTACAGAGGTTTCAAAGTGGTGAATATAAAATGGCATGCCATCAAAACAACAATCAAATATGACAATAAATCATAATTAAAAGTTAATCACTTGTAAAACTGCACACTCTATTGTATGCTACAGCCTGGACCTGACCGTGTTACACTTCAGAGAAAGCCAGTGTAAAGGAATGGATCTTGAGAGGATGTGTAAATGTCAGAACTGTCTATTCCAGCTCTTCCTCCAGTTTCCCACAGTGGCCAAGCAGATGCTCCTGGGAAAGTGCAATAGCCCTTTCCCATTCTTGTTGCCTCACAACTGATATTGGGTATATGATGCCTCTGAGCCTGGGGGCGGCATACTGTCATCCAACTTCTCTCACATAACTAGCTAATAAGCTTTGGAGATGGCATTTTTCCCTATATCATCTTCTTATGTTCCTAATCCTGGCATTGTTTGTGGTCTCACTGACATAATTTCAATGCAATTATAAGCTAGGTTTGTAACCTAAAGAGGCCTACCTCTCAGGTATATTCTACTATTTATATTGAAGGCAACTTGAAATATACCTGCATTTTTTAATGTAAGCATAATGTCTTATTTTTTGTGGTTGTACAGAAGTAGCAGTCACTATGCCCTGTTCTAGTTTTCTGAAGCATCAGGTCTGAAGATTTGGCCATTAGGGTGCATATGTATCTTCCTGTAAGTGTATGGCAATTCCACTAATTGTTTTATGGCTTTCCGTTGGCCAATTTGGTTGTGACCTTTGATCCCAAAAACAAATGTTTGCGTGTGCCAGCTTATCAAGGAGATTGCACCGAATTTTCATTTGATGACATGCCTGGCTGTGGAACAATTAGGAAAAGTTTAATAAAAGTGTTCTAAGCATAAACACTACATTTTCCATTTGCAGCTTATTTTAAAAGTTTCCATTAAGTGAATGAGGACTTTGAAGGAAGTAACCAATGGAAAATGTAAATACAGCTGGAAAAAATGATCATGAACTAATGAATTCCACTTGGTAACGTTATGAGACTCATGGATTTTTGGTATTACACAATGATTTCTCAGCATTTTTCCTACTTTTCTGAATACAGAACTTCAGAATATGGAAGAGATCAGGACATGTCAATAGGGAATAAATGGAGCTATAGCAGAAGGAGGAAGTGAACTGAGTGTTCCATCTTGACACCAGTAACGTTTTAACTTTAGAAAGGAAACGTGAAAAAATCAGGTTGGCAGTTCATCCCCATTCCTAAACCTGAGTAACTTTTTTAGTCACCTGTGGGGGTTTTTTAGTTGTAAAGGGTATTGGGGTGAACAGAGATGATTAGTTTACCAGGTTGTTCATGTGGGTGTTTCTTAGGTGTGTGCTAAAGTGTGATAAACTGTTCCAATACAGTCAAATGTGACTGTCTTTCATATTTCTGTGGTTCTACACCTAGTTATTGGTTAGTTCTTTGCTAATGTTTTTTGACCTATCCCTAAGTGTATTGGTACAGCATTTGTCACTCTTTCTTTGTTTAGGCAATTAGATGGTTAATACATTCTCACAGCCTCAAAAATGTAACACACACTTATAAGGTGTTACTTTTAACAGGTCAATAAAAGTTTTCCATCACATCTTGGGTTTATAGAGTTCAGATGTCACATGCTACTGGATTACAGCTGTTACAGATTAGTAATATAGACAGCCAGTTTACTAAGTGATGAACATGGGAAAGCCTTACTACTTCATAAGGCCTACAATCTTTACTGTATGTTGGAATCCATGGAAGGAAAAATCTCATCACACTTTATTTAATACAGGTAATCATTCACATGCTCAATAGAAAATCTTACACATGGTTTGTATTGTGACCAGGTAGGGAAGAATCACAAGCCTGTTTATTTACATATTACAGTTTGATATCTGATAGGCTATTAGTTGTGTTTGTGTATATTTATGCAGTATTAGCATATGAATTCCATTATATGTTTCTTCAGGAGGCCAGTAATGAACTTTTACATATGACACAGACTAAATAATCCTGATTTTTTAATGGTAGTTAAACTTCAAGTGCTTTGACTTGTTTTCAGAAGAATGGGTGTGGATATTTAACTGTTGTAGACTAACTTTGATAGAAATATGTGATAATTTGAAACAAAAAGGATAATTTGAAAGTAACCTTGCACTTGGAATAATTCCATATAAATATGAGCTGTTTTCTTTTTTCCTTTTGAACAATGGCTACTGATACTCTTTTTCCCCCCATTGCTTTTCAAGCCAAGGCCCCCTGTCATCCATTAAAGCGGCAATCAAAAGGAGTAAGTATCCCTTCAGACTGTTTTACTTACCTGTTGGGCAGGTATCTCACTTTTATGAGTACAAAAAAGTGGATAGATGACTGTTTATTGCTTCATAGGTAGAATGCAAATGCATTTACTTGGCCATGCCTTGTTGTTCTTGATAAGTTGTTTTCAGCTGCAAAGCTAACATTTTTCTTAACCTGCACTTTACGCTGTATGTGTCTCATATCTCAATGTCAGTAGTCATTTTATATGAGCTGAACATGCTACATGCACTAGTCAACAACAAATCAGTTATTTGAGGTTTTTCTTGAGGACTTTCATGAGAATTACATACAAATTAGATTCAACATATACTGACCATATGCCATCTAATAAAACTTCACACCAAGTCTTTGCCTAAAATTAAGGAATGAAGCCGCCTGATCTAGATGAAGCTCTCCCTGTTTAAACAAGAATACAGTTGAAAGAGCAGAAACATTTTATTATGTTTATATTCCATCTTTCTTTTCCAACAGAAGAATTAAAGCAGGGCAACAGTAACTTCATTTAGTATTATGAGAGCAAGCAAAGTCAAAAATTATTTCTCATTATTAAGTCTGAACCAGCCCAATTAAACACACAACATAAATAAGATGAAACAGGGCAAAGGAAGGGCTCCCTCCCATGCAGAGGCACAGACTGTATGAGCAGTTGAGCTATGCAGGCCAATGGAAAGAGTTGTCTTTCTGTCCCTCTGCTAACCTGCCACATTGACAGCCGTTCTGGATCTTAACCAAAGCTCGTTTTGAGTTATGATAGCATGTTACACAGTAGGGTTCCTGCTCCTTCTCCAAGGATGCCAAACCATGATGAGATGTTACACAGCAGTACTGAGAAAAGTCACTTGACCGAGGCAAGGGCTGTTTGGGAGGCAGCACTGGAGAAGCAGGGACTTGGAGAGGCAGCTTCTCTTCTTGCAGTCAGCAAAGCCCCAAGTTTGGACTTAAGCCTTGGAGGAAGAGAAGACTGTCCATACAAGTGTCTGGTTGGCTCTGTAGTGCCTGCATGCTGCTTCTCTCTCACTGCTCACTTTTCATCCCCATTTCAAGCACAGATTCCAAACTTTCCCATTTGAGTGTATCATCTAAAGTTCATGTTTGTGGGATTCTCTTGCCTATTTGTTTTATTAAATATTTCTGTTGCCTTTCACTAACAGCACCTTCATGTTTCACAAGTAAATTTCCCTGTTTCCATATCAGAGTAAATTTCCCCCAACATTTGTCTGTGTATTTGTGGTTTTATCACTTTCAGTTCTTCGAGTACTTAATAGACAGGTAGTTTAAGTGGGTTTTGCAAGCAGAGGTTATTTGCACTCTTCTCTCTGGGTCTTGGTTAGTTTTCTAGGAACAGGTCAGTATTGATTTAGAAATTTTTGCCATGTACCATTTGACATTTACAACAACACGAAGAAATAGCTTTTATCTCTCAACAATAGTGCCAGTTCTACTTCAGGACAAAAGGGAGAAAAGATCGCAAATACAAGAGTATAACAATGAAGTACAGCATAAAATAGGCATGTTTAACTCTTTAACTATTCATTCAAAAGAAATTCTCTACAACAGAAAAAGTCACCAAGAAGAAACCTGAAGATTTAACGCAGAATTGATACCTAAAGCTAAAACCTAGTTTGTATGTTAAATATCATTTGTATGTTTCATGAGGCTACAGGATATGGTACTTATGCATGTCAGAAACAAATTTCACTTAAGCACATCAATATCATACAGTCTGAAATAGTTAGCTTTTTATTGGAGTCATCCAAAACAAGGAGAATTGAGAGTGATAAATTCTTCTTCAAAAAAAAAATTAAAATAAGCATTTAAAATAATGGGGGAAAATGCTGTGATATCCTTGTGTAACTAACCAAGTAAAACCAGTGGATCTTTACTATTAGCATGGTTTATTCTCCCCCACCCCTTCCCGTCTCTTCCTCAGCTGTAACCCCTTCTTTTTTTCCTTCAGTATTCATGAATAGTGCACATCAAATATGCCCCGTGGAAGAGGTATGTCTCTGCTGTCCTTCCCAGCTGGTGCTTTATAGATTTCTGCTATGAATTTGCAGTGGTGTAATTAGGGTAGTTTGTTTCTACAAAAGAAAACAGGACTTTCTCTCTAAATCATATGGCTGCAAGAACATTCCTCCTCGTTAATTGCTTATTGTTTTAATTATATAAGACAAATGGAAAAGGTTACTTTAAAATAAAAATTTAATCATGCTAATAAAAATATGCTCAATCGACTTTGTATTGGACTAATTTTGCCTAATCAAATGAATTAAAATATAACTGCTTAACTTCAACATAATGGTTTTATATTGATAAAAAGAACTAGTGCTACATGTAGAAGCTGTGCACTACCAATTGGAAGTGGCCACACTGGCTTGCTCTTTGTCTTTTGAGAGTGTGATTACTAGGACAGGATGTTTCCCCTGCCCACACATTTCTTAATTTACATGCCTGGATTAAAACATAGGCAGTTAGAAAACTGAGCTACATAGAGAGATTCCTAAAGGGCTGCCCCAATAATTTTAGTGGTGGAAGCAGCTCCATTGATACATACTTTTGTCCGTACAGATCTGGTTTGAAAATAGCATGAACCCATGGTTTATTGTCCTGCCCAATATTCATATTGCAAATGACCAAACAAAGAAAATAGCTTGTTTGTTCAGTTTCTGGGTTGTTTGCTTCCCTTTTTCCTTACCTGCTCCCTTCTAGCTAGCTTGTATATCCTGCCTGCCTTTGTGGCAATGTAGCTCTGGCATATAGAGTGGCTGGGAATATTTTTATTTGTTTCTTCAGCCTTTTTCTTTAAATCACTCATGCCATTTGCTTCTATAGCCTGGTGAAACAACCCGTAAATTATCAATAGTTCTGGGTTCACAGGTAAGGTCAACTTATGTTTTAAACAAACTATAGTTTACAATCCAACAACAAACTATGAGCGCTTATGAATTGTTCATAGTTAGTAAACTATGGCTTATTAGTGTAGCTTTGTACATCGTAACAACCAAAAATTTGATAAACCATGGGTTATGTTAGTGCTATGTGTAATCTGGGTTTGGATCTTTGGACTTGGTCAGAATCTTGCAATTTTTGCAACCACCTTATTCAAGCATATACACATAGTTGAATTTTGTGTTTCAAAGATACCGAGTTTTGGATGTATTTCTTATGTCTTGTCTTCCAGTGCACAAAGTGTCCCTTGTGAGGATTCTCTAATTCCCATCATAAATGCCATTTGAAAACTAAAACTCAAATATTCACTTAAGGAAAAAATCTTGTGTATTTCATTTAATGATCACTTTTGTTAATGAATCATTTTGCTGATAATAAAATTTTGGTTGTATAAAATTATTTCCAGGGATTTCACAAGAAATTGGGGGCTGAAATATCAACCTCACATTAGCATTCATCCAAGCTTAACTGTTCACTTTTTTCAAACTAGCTTCTCGGACATCTGGCCACAGTGAACAGCAGAGAGAGAGAAGGTATGATGTGCTCCCTGCTATTTCATTCATTGTTCACTAATTTGAGAGTTCATATCCAATCCTCTTGTTACTGTCATCTGGTCTTGCTTTTATTTGTGTTTATAATTTCTTTGTCTCCCTCTCTGTCCTTTTTTTAAAGTATGAAACAGAGTAGCAAAGTTTTAAAATGTGTTTGTCTTGTAGAATTGCTTTTAAACGCCATCTTCTAAATTCATCCTATAGGCTAGGAAAACTTTTGGAGTGCTGTTACCCTTTATTAGATGCATGGTAAAAAGGCTATCAACATGTCATAAGACATAAACGTATGACTAGAAATGATCCTGTTTATCTGTGAAGTTCTAGCATTTTGCAAAGTGACAGAAAATTTTGTTTAGAAGACCATGTCAAGTTAACCAAAAGAGTTCCTTAATAAGAAAAGAGCTTGTCCTTGTGGTGGCAAACCTATGGCACCCGTGCCGCAGCGCTCACGCAGAGCCCTCTCAGCATGTGAGCCAAGTCACCCCAGGATCGCCCCAGCAGCCAAGCATCGGATAACAGTGCACATAGGGGCCATGCGCATGCTCAGAAAGGAGTAGTGGTGCCAGGTGATGACATCACGAGCCACGACTCATTAGCTGTAACTCGTCCGAGCTTTCACACGGCTGGTCAGTGCACTGCCAAGGACATATATATATTTGCTTGGACTGGCTGTGAGTTTGAATATATTTGTTTTTATTTAACACAAGATTTTAGCTTTGAGTTTTCTTATGAAAAATTGAAATTTAATATCTAAGATTTAGCAAAGAGATGTTCTAATTAAGAGACTGAGATTCTTTTAATGTGATGCTGTTCCCCTGGCATATTTGAATCTGCAGCATCATATTCAGGTTTTATTGCAGTGTTGGCATTTGTGATAAATAAGTGGGTTTGGGGTTGCAGTTTGGGTACTCAGTCTCTAAAATGTTTGCCATCACTGTCCTAGTTCATGAATTCTTTTCAAACTTTCCATAGTTCAAACCAGGTTGGCTGCTTCCTTATGAGTGCTTTTACCCTTTTTGTTCCAAATTAATAACCTGGAATAAACCAGGAAGAACCCTACCTATTCTTAAATCTGCCACTTGGCAAGCATGCATTCAAAAGGTTGTAGAAAACTGTTCATCCGCAAATTTGAAAGGCTTTTGAGGGGCAAATAATAATTAAATATTTGTATATTTTCTAACATTTTCTTCTGCTCCTTTTTTCATTTCATTTTTTCGTTTTTTCATACTCTCTGTCTTCTGTCCACTTATCCGAAAACAGTGTTCCCATTCAGTTCTTTCTTTTTTAAATTTCCTTAAAACTTGCATTACTGTGTATGTCCTGGCATGAAACACAAGTGCGTACATTTTGCCTTGATGTTTCTGAAGGGTTAGCCTTTAAAAGGAGTACATCAAAGTACCAGATTCTGTTTTCTTGCAGTGAAGTGGTTTTAAGCTGCAGCACACAGTTATGCTTCATTCTGTAATCTGTTAATGTAGACTACACTGTATTTTAACAAATTCTACTTGTAAACGCTATCAGGAAACATAAGTTATTTAAGACTAGTGAAAGGCTTATCATTAATGATGGGTAGTTTATTAGGAGATAAATAACCAGAATTTTGTAGGGATCATATGCATGAATGTAATGTGTGTCTGTATGTAAGAGAGGCATTGGCATCTGTGTTGATAGAGGTTGGATCTCTAATGTTCTTCATATACAGTATGAACAGATACCCATAACTGTAACAATATGTGGCTTAGCACAAGCATTCGTGTGTATTGCAAAGCTTCTGAAACACTTTTGCGGGACTGGGATAGCTTTTAGGATCACTATTGCTTTTTATAGATGCATGGTAAAAAATAAGGTTAACAAAATGTCTTAAGCTAAAAACACATGGCTGTAAAGTATCCGGTTGATATCTGTGGATCTCCAGTGTTTCATAGAATAACAGAAAATGTTTAGTAGACTGAATCTAGAGAAGCCCAGTGTCTTGCTTGAAACTCTGCCGTGGCTTGCAGAAGTATAGAGTCCACTTTGACTTTTCCATGTTTTGTCATATTACAACCTGGAATTGAAATTGAATTAATTGGCATTGTTACCACTTGGTATATGCAAGATATGCAATACTAAAGGTGCAAAATGCTTTTTTTTACTGTGACACAAAAGTTAAGACAACAAAAAAGCATTTATTAGTTGTTCAAGTTTTCATCCCCTTTGAGCCAGTATTCAATATAAGCACCTTTGGGAGCAATTATACCTGCAAGTTTTTTTTGGGTTAGTCTCCATGAGTGTGTATGTTTGGATCCTGCAATACTTACCCAATACCTCCTAGCAAATCTGTTCCAGCTCTGTCAGGTTGGATGGAGACCATTGGTGAACAGCAACTTTCAAGTCTTACCATAGATTCCCAATCAGCTTGACCTCTGGTCTTTGGCTGGACCATTCGAAGACACCCAGGTTCTTTTTTTAAACCACTCAAGTATTACACTTTGGCTGGACATTACAGGTCAATGGACTGCTGAAAGTCAAACCTCCACCTCAGTTCAAGGTCCCTTGAAACAGGTTTTCCCTCTAGAATTTCACTGTTATCTGGTTCTAATCCATCTTGCCCTCAATTCTGACTAGTTTTCCAATCCCTCCCATTTTGCAGCAAGACAAAACAGTGTAATTTCAATTTCATCAGACCAAGAATCTTTTTACACATATTTTCTGTATCTGTCCCATGCCTTTTTTGCAAGCTCTAAATGGACTTTAAAATGGGGTCATTCAGCAATGGCTGTCATCTTGCCACTCTTCCATAAGGTCCAGATTTGTAGAACATTTTGTAATAGTTGTCCATGGATGGTTTCTCACATCTTCTTTAGAGTTATCATTGGCCTCTTGATTGTTTCTCTGACTAATATCCTCCTTACACAGTCAATGAATTTTGTTGGAGTGCCTTTTCTAGTCATAATTGTAGTTGAGCCATATTCTTTTCATTTTGTAATAATGATGCTCCGGGGTTCATAATTCATAATTTGGGAGGTTTTTTTTTATAACCCACCCCTGACTGGAGCATTTGCAAAACTTTATTCTGGAGCTGGTTTGATAACTTGGTCTTCTTTATAATATTTGTTTAGATAGGCTCTCCAACAAACTCCCAGGCTTCCAGAAACAGGTGTATTTTAATATGACAACATGTGTTGCACCAGAGCTAGATATGTCACAGCAGAGGGGATGAATAGTTAGCAGCCAATAAGTACTGTTTTGGTTTTGTTTATTTAACTTTGTTCCACAATAAAATGTTTTGCACTTTCACAATGTTGAGTATCTCATGAACATCAGGTGGTAACAATGTCAAATAATTTCAATTCTGGCTCATAACACAACAAAATGTGGAGAATACTTCTCTAAATCCCTGTACATGAAATGTAAGTCAAAATAAGCAAGCAGATGAGGCCCTGTTCTCCCCAAATACAGCATTCTCAGCTAGCTAATTCAGATTCTGAGGTGGAGGAGGAGGAAGGCTTGGCAGATAGCCATAAAGCATCAAGGCTACCAAGCAAGATTACTCATACAGCATCTGAGAACCAAAATATTTTGAGAAAAGGCGACACTGTAGAACAGGGAGGTGGAGAAGGAGCTAGAATCCTTAGATCCTGTAAAAAGACAACAGGCTAAGGAAGCGAACAAATTAAGTGACATCAGGCATCCCTGCCATCTGGTCCCCAAGCAGCATGAGCCACCCTGAAGGTGGAGTAAAGACCTTTCAGAAAAGGAGAGAAGGAGCAAATTATTTCAGTTTAGAGTCAACCCTTCCCATGGATAGAAGCTACTCCCACTTAATTTAGGAAGCTATTACTTTGATTTATACTGCTGCAAACCTGTCTAGCTCAATAAAGGACTATATTTCTAAAGCTTTTGTTTGTATCTGAAGGAAAGAGGGAAGGGGAAGAGATGTTCTCATGACAATAAGGATCAGTCTTTAGATATCCTAGCTTTCCAAAATTAAGTAACAATAAATTTAACAGTGGTGCATTCCTTTTATTCCTGCTTTCAGGCGACCTGAAATCACGATAGTTGCTGCTGAACCACTTGGGCCATCTTCCTGGTTTCCGGGTGGAAATCACATTCCTCAGCAAAGGCTAGTGTTTCAATCATCCCGCACCCAGACTTCTTGGAGAACAAGTGAGCTTGTCCCGGCTGAGGTGAGTAAGTGCAGGCTTCCCCCACTTGGCCAACTGTGAATTTAATGCAGGCACATAGCATATTGATAAATTGTATCAGAATTAATTGTGATTGGTATTCAGCATGTGGAAGTAGTCCATGTACATTCAGCTGTATGCAGTGTCTCATGTGAAATTTGGGATAACAATTTTGTTTTGCAGCCACCTTCATATGAGCAAGTAATCAAAGAAATCAATCAAGTGCAAGTCAATACAACCAGCAACAGTAATGTTGCCAACGCTGCAAATTCTAGATCCACTGCTACTTCTTCAACACAAACTGACTTTCCAGAAGATCAGATAATCAGCAGTTTGCCGGAAATAAATGTGAAAAGTAATCTGCATGTTTATTCTGAATGTAAAAGCACTCCAGGTATGTAAGCATTCATTGTGGTTGAATGGTATTTAAAAGGGATCTATGTTGGTAGCAAAAGTTTCCTTTGATGGGTATGTTGTATGGGTTTGTAACATTGGTTCTTCGTCAAAAATTGGTTCAAAAACTGTTAGCTTGCAATCTTCTGGCCAAAGGCACTGCGCAGGCGCAGCACCCCATATGTGTGACTGCACAGATGGCCACTCGAAGAACATCAGTTACAGGTAAGCAACCTGCTTATTCTGCTAAGCAAGTCAAATACGTTTAGTTTGATGGTACCTAGATATTATATCCAGGATAAGCTAGCATTAATCCAGTCTAACTCTTAACTGAATCACACAAGGTGCTTTCTTTGGTGTGGAATTACATGTGGCAAAGCTTAGGGTGTGGGACAGTGTTATTCCATTGGTGGTTTTCAGAAGTGCCTAGATCGTTAAATCATAGGTACAGATTCTTCCTGATTGATCAGCTGAATAAAGACCCTTCCCATTCCTGATATTACCATATCCCACTCCACCATTTTGCTTTCTTCCTGCAGAAAGAGGGATAGAGCTCTATGCCTCTTTATGCATGGAGAAAAGAACTTGGCTTGTGCTTAAAGTTCCTCCAAGCACCAGCTGAGTCACTGTTTGTGTGAACTGCTTGTCATTTCAACTAGAACAGTGAAAAGTGCACTGAGGAACACCATTTATCTCCAAGTCAGTGATTGCAGGGATTCTCCTTCTCAGGTGTTTCTCCAGTCCAGTTGGGAGCAGGAGTGTTACATAAGGAAATACCTACTATTAACCCTAATAATTGCCAACAGGTATTTATGTTCATGCAAACCTCAAGTGGGCTTTACTTGCAGGGTAAGGGATTCCAGGAACTTCTGATCATCAAATGAAACTTTATGAGCTAGACTGGGCTGGAGGTTCCATCTTCCTGTTCTACAAATGTGACTATTTATTTAATGTTTTGCCTTCTGAAAGCCGAAGCTCCCAAGATAGTTCACAAAGGACATTTAAAAAAAATAAAAGATGCATTGTATTAAAACATATTGAAACATCATTAAAAGTTTACAATACAAAATTTAAAAATATGTATTAAATAGGTTTTATTATCTCTGTCTCTCTCTCTCTTTCTCAAAAAATAATATTAAAATTAGGCCTGTTACTTAATGCTCTGCAGTAGAGGACAGTCTTTACCTGGTGCCAGAAAGATAGTAAGATTGATGCCAGGCAGACCTCAATGCACAGCTTGTTCCATAACTGGAGGACCACCACTGAAAAGGCCCTTCTACTGCTAACTGAGTCTCCCTTGGAGGTGGCCATCAGAGATAGACCACAGAACTTGCTCATGGTGTCTGGTAGAAGATTGGGAACAGCATGTCTTCAGGTTTTGAGGTCCCAAGCTGTGTAGGGCTTTATAGGTTAAAACCAATACCTTGAATTGGGCTTAGATATAGACAGCCAGTGCAAGTAGGTCAGAATTGGTGTTATATGATCAAGTCAAATCATCTGATCCCTGTTATTAGTCTGCCTGTTGCATTTTACACAAGCTGCAGTTTCCAAACAGTTTTCAAGGGCAGCCCCCTATAGAGTGCATTGCAGTAATCTAGAAATTACTGGAGCATAAATCTGATAGCAGGCTATCGCTGTCCAGACAGGGGTGTAGCTGAGCCATCAGGCTAAACTGGTAGAAGGCACTCTGAGCCACTGAAGCCACCTGGGCCTCAAGTGACAATGATGACTCAAGGGGGCTAGGCTATGAACCTGCTCCTTCAAGGGGAGAGTAACCCCATATGGAACAGGTTGAATTTTCTCCATCTGGTCAGAGGAACCACCCGCTAATACCATTGTCAGGACTGAGCTTCTAGATGAATACTAGGTTATTCATCTAGTCCAGTGTTGCAGGTAGGCACCAGTTCAGCACATTCATAGCCTCACTTGCTGAAAACGAAAAGGAGCGATAGAGCTGTGTGTCATTAGCATATTGATGACAACACACACCACAACTCCAGACGACCTCACTCACTGGTTTCAGGTAGATACTAAACAACATGGAGGACAAGACTGACCCCTGGGGAACCCTTATTATGGAGAATTCAAGGGGCAGGTCTATATCCCCCACGTAGGCAGTTTCCCATGACGTCCCACAGGTGGCAGTCTTGCAGGTAGGCTTCTTTGCAGCACTGGGGCCCCTGGAATTTCTCATAGCAGTGCCTGAATCCACCCAGCCCCAACCTCAGCCTGGAGAATGGCAAGGGGACTGGTGAAGAGGCTAAGCTAGGTGGAAGAGAGGACTGGCAAGGTAGGAAAGCCAACACTCCTACCCTGCTGAGAGAGGCCAGGGCTGCTGTTCAAGGCTGCACTCTTCAGGTTTGCAGATACTATAGGTGTTCATTATGTTCTTTGCCCACTACCCTGAGGTTTTAGGATGTATGTACCATGTCAACTGAAATTAAGTATTCTATTATTTAAAAGAAGTAGCAGCAGCAGCAGCAAGAGCATTTAAATAGCTAAATAGTAAAGTAGGATACAAGTATACTGATACGGCTCTTTTTCCAGATGTTGTGTTGCAGTAGTGTGATTGACATTGCCATTGTGTGGAACAGCCCATCTATCATTCATAACTGATAGTACATGGTATGAAAGGAATGTTCAGTAATGTAAGCAAATGTGTTAAGATGTAGCAGAATTAAAGCAGTCACCCAGTTTAAGAAATCTTAGCTGCTTAAATGTATGACTTCAATCAGTTAATTCTCATTTAAATAGGCATATGGGTAAAAAAATGGTTCTGGAAAAAGAAGATTGCTTTTTTTTGGTTTTTTGATGCACATGTGTTGTAGTAGATACTGTGTCAAATAAGCCTTTTGAGAAGATTGCAATTGTACTTTTTCTAAGTACCTGTGTTATAAAGTAATGTTTGAAAAATCTGTCACTTGACTGAAGATCCATCCTCAAGCAGTTTACATGAGCTTTGAATTCACTTTCAGTTGCTTGATTCTGTGATAAATTGTAGAAACCCTTTGCTAATTGTTTTTATGTACTGATTAGTCTAACTAATCATCACACTTGGGAGCCAGTGAGGAGCCAGTTAGCTTGTTGAACTGGAACTCTGGGTGCTAGTTCCCACTCAGCCATGCAGCTCAATGGGTGACCGTAGGCCAGTCAGTCCTTCTCAGCCTAACCCACCTTACAGGGTGGTTGCTGTGAGCGTAAAATGGAGCTATGTAAGAAACCTTGAGTTCCTTACAAGAAGAAAAACATTGTCATATAAATGCAGTGCAATAAGAACTAATCGATTAAAAGTTGCACCCTCATGCAAAATAAGTTTTGAAATGTCAGTTTCTTTCTGCAGCTGTACAGGTTCCTCGCAAACCACCTAGACCTTCATCTTGCCTGTTGAACAGCAATCCTTCCAAAAATGAAGATCTTCTAGTTATCTTGGAAGAACATACATGTCAGGAAAAGCCTAATGCTGTGATATGTCCTGTGCCAAAACCAAGATCTAAAGGCAACCTGAAACCTGTTCTTAGAGATACTCAGAGTAGCGCACAAGACAATCACAAAAAAACTACAACAGAAAAGGACACCCCCTCAATTCATTTGAGCTTTCTACTAGATGACAGCTTTGGTGACTGTCATATGGTGATAGATACCATGGATACAGACAAGAACCAAAGTAGTATCATATCACGGATTAAAGCTTTTGAATTGCAAGCAAATACAGAAACAAAGAAGGCAGAAGTATCTCCCCATTCATTAGGCCCGAAACCCATCATTAGTGCAAAGAAACCTGTGGTGGCACCAAAGCCAGGGGTTAACAGAGCCTCGGGTGACTGTAATTCATGGACAGAAGGTAAGCTGAAGACTGTTTCCCAGGAAAGACCTCTTCCATCTCAGGAAGCTGGGAGCACTGCTATAAACAAGCCTGAATTGCCAAAGAAACCAGCCATTGTGAAAAGCACTAGCGATGGGCTCCTTAATTCAGGAAACAGATCAGCGTCAGAAAGCAGTGATGGACAGAGAAAATCTCCCATTCCTGCTCCCAGGCCACTTGTTCTCAAGAAGTCTGGCCCTGCTAGAAGTCCTGTTCTTCCTACAGTCCCACTGAAACCAGTAAATGCTGCTCCCAGACTCTCTATAGCTGCTCAGTCCCCAGCTTTCAGATCTCTAGCGGAGCCCCCTGCAAGCAACTCCGTAGTACCTCCTGTTCAGAGTACACCATCAAGAGAAGGTGATCTGATCAGCTTCGATGATGATATTTTTCCTCTAAACACAGCTGGGAATCTTGAAGAACTTACTCGGTCAGCACCAGGTAAGATTTGCAAAGGGGAAAAAAAGAAGAACATTAAAAAGAAAAAGATTTATATGTGGATTTTTATAGTGATGTTAGGAAAGTGTATTTGTCAAGGACAAATTCATATATTTCTGGCCTGTTCAGACAGATGTATCTGTCTATAGTTTAGAATTGCAGTTTGGTTAGATCATTTAGTAAATCCTCCCTTCAACCTCAGGAGATAAGCTAATTTGTGGCTAGGCTGCATCTTGGGAGCTGAGAAGCAATCTTCAGCTTCCTAGAGGAGCAGAAGAACTGTCCATTTGAGCAGAACCTCTGGCCACTGCACCTAATCGTGAACAAGGACAGGGATTAGGCTCCAAGCCTTGCACCCTGGAGGAATCCTCTCAGAAGATATTCCTTTGCTGCAATCTCCCAAGACCAGAGAAAGGGGACCAGTGGCCTTTAGGATTCACACTGGGAAAAGCAGCAGCTCTCCCTGTGCATGGCAGGTCACAATGTGTATCATTCCTGTTGCTGACTCTGATCCATGATTGCAGAGAGAGCAGCAGGGGTGAGGGACAGGTGGGGATGACTCTTTCTACTTACCCTTCCCCACCTGGCTTCCTGCAACACAGACAACAATGCAAGGCAGCTCCTCTGTCAGAGAAACAAAGGGGACTCAGATGCTTCTTCATTATGGGAAGAAGGCAAGGTGGGCAAAGAGAAGGTAAAGCTAAGCTAGTCCTTGTCACTTCCCATTGGGGGAATGACGGGCTAGTTCAGCTCAGATTCACTACACAAAGGAGTGTTTGTGAAGAGCCCTCTCTGTCAGCACGCGAGCCAAGTCACCCCAGCATTGCCCCAGCAGCCGAGAATAGGATAACAGTGCACATAGGGGCCATGCGCTTGCTCGGAAAAGAGAACCTGCACCAGGTGGTGACGATGCAAGCCTCGACTCATTAGCCATGACTCGTCTGAGCCTTTGTAAGGCCGGTCAGTGTGCTGCCAAGGATATGCTTGGACTGGATATGAGGTGTTTTTTCTAAACTAAAACCTCAGTTTTCAGGTTTTATTCTATTTAGAATGAGCAGAGAAGATGAGCAGTGCAGAAAAAGCTACTCAAGGCTTTTTCAAAATTGCCCTCTTTTCAATGGCATTTTAGCCCTGTATTAGAGTTTGGGGAGTGCACCAGCATAGGGTTAGGGTTACAAAAAGAGAAGGTGCCCTGGCATGCTTTTGATGGTTGGAATGTGTTCAAATGGGCAGAAATGATGAGCAGGGCAGAAAAATGTACTCAAGGAAGGCTTCTTCAAAATCTCCCTCTTTTCTGTGAAACTTTAGCCCTATATTAGGGTTAGGGGTGTGCCCCAGGGCAGGGTTAGGGTTACAAAAAGGAGGTCCCCTGCCATGATTTTGATGGTTGGAATGTGTTTAGAATGGGCAGAAATGATGAACAGTGCATTTTTTAAAATCGTCCTCTCTGTTGGCATGCGAGCCAAGTCACCCCTGCATCGCCCCAGGAGCCGAGCATCGGGTAACAACAAATATTTTCACCATGCTCATTGTCAGAAAGGAGTAGCAGCGGCAGGCAATGATGTCACAAACTGTGACTCATTAGCTGCACCTCACCCAAGCTTTTACATGGCTGGTCAGTCCACTGCCAAGGATATATATATATATATATTTGCTTGGACTGGCTATGCATTGTTTTTTCTAAAGAAAAACTGCAGTTTTCAGGTTTTATTTTAGTGTTGTCACTTTGCAATAAATAAGTGGGTTTTGGGTTGCAGTTTGGGCACTTGGTCTCTAAAAGGTTCGCCATCACTGTCCTAGATTTTTTAAAGCTTTAATTAATCTAGTTCTGCAAAGAATGGAGCTAAGCATTTTCTTAAATAACTAAGATTTGTTTGTGGATCCCAAAGAAAAGGCACTGCTTATGCAGTTAGTTCCGTGTGATTATATGACAGGTTCTGTAGCAAAAATTGGAGTACTTCAATGAAATGTTTGCTATGATCCACTAAGTTTTGCAAATTAAATAGCCAGGTTGCCTGTGAGCCCATGCAGGGTGTGAAGCAAGTAAATAATTTTAAAGAGCCTACATCAGTCAGTATTCAAGACTGTTCCAGTACAGAATGTCATCTCTTCCCAAAAATAAACTACTACCAGCCATTGCCAGAGCATATGTTTAAAAACGCATTAGGTAGATTTCACAACCAGCAATTAGCCAAATTGGACAATCTGTTGTTAACAAGTCATTAGTAGCTTGCTAGCCAGTTTCACTAGTTAGCTCTGTGGACAGAAATAACAAAACCAGAAAGTGTATGTCATTTAAACTGTAACTTCCACAGAAGCATCAGATGTAACAATCTGGATTTAGTTCCTGTAGGATATTTAATAATGCACAATCATTCCAATAAACATTCAGGAAGAAAGGACAGGATAGTCTGCAAGGATACTATGAACATCTTTTCAGTCAACATGTAGAATAAGGGTATTTTTCACATTTTATTGCATTAATATATCCCTTCAGTGTACTATTATAATGAATAATGTTTCTGATGCTTCCTCTTGAATTGAAACAAAATTAAAGGCTATTTTTGTGGGTTTCTTAGATCTTGTCAGTTTGCCTTCCAAACATGAGCCTGCAAAAGAACAGGCAATCCAGTCAGCTGTTGTGCGGAAACCTACTGTGATTCGAATCCCAGCTAAACCAGCAAAAGGTAATATCTTAGTATTTAATGTTTTTTCCCTAGATTTTGGAAAATATTATATTGAAGACTCTATTTTCTTAGGATCTTTTTAAAGACAAAATGAATTAGCTATAGCTACTTGAAACTAAGTTAATTTCTAATACAGGATTTCATGAAACTTGCAATTTTTCAATGGGAGATCCTTAGACATAACTTGGAAATTGATAAATATATAGATATTTGGGACACCTATGTCGAAGTATATGATGTATATTAGCAATTGTTTATAGTATAGTTAATAGTATTGTTAATATATGTTCAGTTATAGATTAATATACAGGGATGCACAATAGAAATGCAACCAGTGCTATGAATCTTTTCTCAAAATATTGGAAATCCTTTTCTTTTTGCTTTTATGGTGTGGTTTAGTTATTTTTGTATTATACAACACAATATAATTTAAAACTTCTAATACATAGTTACCTTTCTGTCATAACTTTTGAAATATGTATTAGAACATAATACAAACACAGAATGTTATGGTGGAATCCTAGTAAAGTCTGCCCAGAATTGAGTCCCACTGACTTCCATGTGATTTACTTCTGAAGACATGCATAGTCTTTACTGTGGTTTAAGGTTTTGGCTCCATGCACCAAATCTTTAAAAAAAAAACTCAAAACCACAATCTATACACTTTTCTGTTAAAACAATTTTTAAATGTTGTATAAAATTATAATTTTTTCAAAATTGAGCTTATAAACTTGAAAAACTAAAGCTGCCTGAACTTTCTGTATTTACATGAAATGAAGTATGCAATTATTTGTTTATTAAAATGTTCTCTAAGCTAGCATTAAAATATACATTCTTACAAATTTGAGATTTAAATACAAGTTCAAAACAGGAAAGCTAGGATGTGACTTTCAGTGCTATAACCCTAAATTGTGTAGTGTTTATTTAACCTTTGGTTTCAGCATTCAGTTCAGGTTTGTTTTTATAGATCTGTTTCAGCTTTGCATATAAATGCTAATTTGCACAATGCAGGCAGAGATTTGGCTGGAATAAGAAATCAGTGGTGGCATAAAGTATAACATTAAATAACAAATAAACAAATAAAAACACCTCATTTTAGGACAGTGTTTGCAGGAATTTTACCCTGTTGTTCCATCTGTTCTTGATGTTCACGGATCTGCATTATATCTTGACTATTCTTGTGTGTCAGCACAGAACAACTTCCACAGAGATAGGAAATTACAGAGAAGAGCCACCAGTCCAGTTTGTGTAGGTGTTGCAACATTCAAAATATAATTTGATTTCTTTTTGATTTCTTATTCTTTAGAACTTGTTTATCCCTGTTATCACTGCTTTGCTAAACCATGGCAGACAGCAGCACTGGCACTTCTGTCCTAAATTGACTAGAAATATGTCTTCATTTTAGGACCAAACTATTAAATCTGTGAAATAAGCAAACATGTACAAAATGCATTTCCTTTCCTTTACCGTCAAGAAGCAACTGTCAAGACCCCATCTCAATTTTGTGGCTCTAATTTCTATCCTTGTGTTAACAGTGTTATTTAAGGATTAAAAAACAAAAAAAAACAAATTCCCAGCTGTGAGCTCTACTGTTATTGCTCAAAATGCTGACTAGAAAATTTATTACATACTTGAGTGTCTTCTACCAGAGGAGTAATCATACTGATTGCTTAAATTGCCAACAGAGATTGAACCAAAGTGGGATTGTCTTGTGTGTAGTAAGCCCAGATTTCTTACTGATGCTGAAGAGAATGATTATTTTTACATGTTGGCCCATAGTTTGGATTCTTTTCTCTTTGCACATGGCCCATTTCTCCAAGAGTTTTTGTAAAGCTTCAGACTGGGCCCACTGAACATTATAGAAGATTCAAGCAATATATAACCTTTTACATGTGCTGAGTCAATCTGCAGCTTTGCTGGTGTGTTGTTACAGTACTTGTACTGTAATAAGACATCCTCTTAAAAACAGCTTAAATAAATGTGGTGCCAAAGCCAATTTTATCACTAAATTCTGATTTTGAATGTTAGGGACTGTTTTAATTGAGGGCCATCATCACATCAATGAGCACTGCCCTATTCTTGTTTCATAGTGCTAAATCATGTGAGAGAGGTGGCTCCACAAGATGCCATATTCTTCTTTTTCTTTATAGTTGTTTGGCCCAAGGAAAGTGTAAAGATGTAATAGCTGGAGGAAATAGATGATTTATTTGCACTGGCCATGTATGACCAATGATGGGTGGTTTGAAAGTGGGAGGTGGGAAATGGGAGGTGTATATCTTCTTAGCTGGTGATATTCAGGTGTTTGGGGATTCAAATCCAGTCACCCAAAGCAGCCATGGTAAAGCATGGTCAAGAATGCTGGGAATTGTAGTTCAAAACTTCTGAAGGACATCAGGTGAGCGGGAGCTGACCCAATGTACCTTTGCCAGTGAATCACAATCCCTAGAGAAGCAGTCCATACTATATGTACTTGGCTGCTTAATTTTATTTTGGTGTTCATGTATTCCTAGAAATTGATGAACGTCCTGGTCAGGATGTAGAATCTATACTTACGAAGAGCTGTTGCAACTCCATTTGATCAATAAGATTCATTGGCAGTATTTCTGAAATATAACTGTTAACATTCACAAATTACTAATACTTTTTCAGCTTTGAATGAAGGTCCAGAAAGCCCTCCTCCACTTCCTACAGAAAAACCAATTGGAAACACATCTGGCATTTCAGCTGGAAAAAACAGCAACATAAAAACAGCAAAAAAGGTTGTACATCTAAACTCATCCATTTCTGTTTATAATCTTTGTAGAAGTATGTTGTATACAAGATAACAATGAAAAAAAATAGCCATGATGTTGGGAGGAACTTCTAGATGGTAGGAGCAGTTAGGTAATGGAACCAATTACCTAAAGAAGTAGTTGGCTTTCCTTCATTGGAGGTCTTCAAGGAGTGACTGAAGAACCATTCACTGGGGAATGCTTTTGTTCTGGATTTCCTGCATTGAACAAATGGTTGGACAAGGCACCCCACTACACCAGGATTCTATCTTAGTTTCTCTTAAAAAACCTTTTTATATTAATAATGTACAAGCTGTGTGTTGGAAATACTGATGGCATTAAGGATAGGGAGTTGCAAGAAATAACCAAAGGCTCCAAGCCAACAATCCAACCAGAGCGGGGAGCTTTTTGCTATGTCTCTTTTTGATTCAAGACACTGACCTTTGTCTTCTCCCGGCTTCCCCCTTATTGTGAACACTTTTGCATTATCCCTTCATTGGGTGTGATCAGATTATTTAATCATTCCCAACAAGTAAAGAAACAGTTCTTGAAGAAGATTTTTATTTTGTATTGCTGTATTTATTTCCTGCCTTTTTCTCTTTTAATTGGGACCAAAGGTGGTTAGACTGGTTTATTGCCTACTTATGTACTCTAAGGTTAATCCTTTTCAAGGGAGGAAATAATGCTTCCATTCAGGAGAAGAAAGAATGCTTTAACAGGCCTGCATCAGCAGTTGTACCATGATGGGGAAACTGCTGGGGAGGATAGCTTCTAGAACGGCCCACTGCCACTGTCACTTGCCTGTGCTCTGGATTAGTATGCCTGTGCTTTTCCCCTGACCACGGTTCGTTGAAAGGGTGTTGAGCAGCTGTAGCAAGAAAGTGACAGAGCTATCATCACTTGGTGTCTTCAGCTTTCCTGGGACCACCTCAAATGAGAAACTGACTTAGACTTTTAATTCAGAAAAGAGGAAATATTTGACTATCACTATTGAAAACACTCTACTTTGAAACATAAGGTTTGTTCTCTTATTAGAATAATGATACCATCATTTGTAACCATTTGTTTCTATATTTCAATAGCTGTACTCATTGCATCCTTCAGTAACTTCTAAATTCTTGGTTTCAAAAGTTCTGTAAGTTTAAAATGCCATAGATATTTGGCTTGTATCCAGTGTTAGCACTACTTAGAGTAGACCAATTGAAAGTAATAGCTTACCTTAGACTAACATTGGATACAAGCCTTTTTGTGCAGTATTGCCTATATGAACGGATTAACTGATGGAGAAGAGATAATTCTCCAGTTAACTTGAAGAGGAAAAAATAATGACATGAAAACTTCTGTAATGTAGTACTTTTTCCATTTTCAAAGACTTTTCCTTTGAAGTAGACACAGTAATACCAAACATTTAAAATGTCATATCCAAATGGTAACAGCAGCATTATATGCTCTAATAGGAGTCCGAGCATTCCAGTTTGACATTGTCAAGCAAGAATATACCTATCATGCCCCTACGGTGAGTAAAATCAAAGTGGTCAGCAGTGGTGTGGGGAAGGGGTTCTAAGACAGCTTAGTATGGTACTAATTTTGCTGCGACCATGTTGATAAGCTAGTTGGCTATAAGTATTGGTGTTATTCTCTAGAGTCGTCATAGGCAGTGATATGTCATAATGTAGAGTGTATTTAAACCTAGTTAAGAAGTCTTACCAAGTTCCCTTGTTAAGAATTACACTTTAGTTTACATGGGCATGCCTATGTAAACCAAGTATACCTTTGGCACTGAATTCTAGGTTGGGTGCTGTCCTGATACCCACAAATCCTGAGAAAGTCAGCAACCATATCAAACTCCTTGGAAGGAATTCTTTCCTTTATGAAAGAAACATTTAAATTGAGTTACTCTCACATTAACAGAATAAGAACTATACATCCGTCACCCACAAATAGGACATGAGTGCCCTAGCACCCTCCAGCTGATGTTCCTTTGCAACTGGTGTGCATAGCAGATTCCCTGTGATACTAAAGGTAGCAATTACCCATCTGGACTAGTAACCATCCTCAAAGAATTGATCCAGTCTCCCTTAAACATCATCCAATTTGGTGGCCATCATTTTATGTTGTGGTGGTGAATTCCATAGTTTATACAGTAGGTGAAGAACTATTTCGTTTTACCTGTCCTGAATTTTTCACCAATCAACTTCACAGGGTAACTCCAGCTTCTAATATGAGGTGGGAGAGAGAAAAATGTCTTCCTGTCTTCTTTTTCTCAACCACAGATAATTTTATGCATCTCTTATCATTTCTCCCCTTACTCACCCTTTTCCCAATGGAAATAATCCAAGATGTAATCTTTCCTCATATAGATGTTGCTGCAGCCCCTTGATCATTTTAGTTGCCCAGTTCTGTACTCTTTCCAAGTTTGGTGGAACCATACAGTATTCTGAGATTTGTGTAAGGACAGTGTGACATTGGCAACTTTCCTTTTGATTCCTTTTTTAACTGTGCCTAACATAGAATTTGTCTTTTTCACAGTTGCAACACATTTCATGGCTTAAGAGGTGGCACAAGGGCAATTAATGTTACACTCTGGGAAACAAAACCATATGGTGCAGTATTGTGCATGGTTTTGCATGAAATTTCTTTCAGCTTGATGATCTTTTAACCATGCCAGTGCAATCCTTCTCTTTCAGGAGTATTGTGCTGCCATGGTTGAAATTGCTACAACCATATGGAGAGCAGCTTCACTCAGAGCTTTTCCTTCAGGGCAGCTTTCAAATCATTCCATTTTTAAGGGGCTCATACAGTGCTAGTGTGATATAGAGCTGAGCCATAAGGAAGGCTTTGTACAGTTTTGCTCTGTATAGCAAAGGCTGTTAGATAGCCATTCTGAGCAACTGTGCAGTGAATTAGAAAGTGTGTTGCAACTCTTCTAACATAGTAATAGTGTAATAGGAAACTTGAACTGATTGTGAAGCTGAATCAATCCAGTCTGACTTAGCAAGAAGACGGTTTTGAAATCTTAAGTTACAAGAGTAATGATGACAGGAGTAGGCAATAAAGTGTTGTTTCAGCAAGATTCACCTAATCTCAAAGGAAATGATTCATTGATGCTAGTTTTAATAACATGGGTCTGTGTGTGTGTGTGTGTGCGCACGTGCATGCATACATGGTTATTTTTATCTGTTTAGATGTGGTAGATGTTTAATCTGTTTGATTTTTGTTTGCCTAAAAACCGAATAAAGTACACTCTATTTCCTTCTCCTTGTCAATGTTTTAAAACTTGTTTAGTAAAGAAGAAACTATTTAATTGGTCTTTCCCATGCTCTTTAATTACAATGTTAAACTTTTGAGCATGTAAAAGAGATGGGTCCAGAGGAAGGGGCATTGCCATCTCAGAAACCTCATATGGGCCAGATTGGAACCATGAACCTTAGGGCTTCATTACTCCTGCCCTAAACCATGCACAGTCCATATGTGTATTGAAGGCTTTCCAGAAAACCCAATCAGATAATTGGTCAAAAGTTATGCCTATAAAAACCTTCCTCCACAGCACCAGAACAAAAGATCAGCTATAGCTAGACTGGGCAAGTATGGGATGGGTATAAAGAGAAAAAAGTCATGGACTTTGTCTTTCCTTGACTGTCTTCTCACGAGTGTGCTCCACAAGAAACAGAATGCCCTCCATCTTTCTTTCCTTTCTCTTGTATCATTAATTTCTGATCATGTTAACAGCAGCCTTCC